TGGGGGGGGGTTTTTTCCCCCCCCCCCCCCCCCCACCCACCCACCCACCCAATCCGATGATATCAAAGTTATCCATTGCTATATTTTAATCAATTGGACCAAAATGATATTTCCATGAAATTAATAAATTAATCTTGGTTGAATTGTTTGGCATATTACCATAAATATGGAGTAGTAGCTATATTGTATCAGTTTCTTAAGTATAAATGAGGAGTATATTTTCATTAACAGTTGCTGTGAAGTAGAAGAGTAACAGCATCATGCCTTTCTATGAAAGCCATTTTCAGACGATTTTTTTTAAATTTTCAGACAGAAATTGACATTATCTCAGACATAGACGAGTGGCAGACGTGGCCTGGCTACCTCATCCTAGCCTTCCGCATGTGTATCATGGCCTGGTTTATGTTTGAACTGCAGTCAAGCTTTGCCTTGGAGAGGGGTCAGGAGAAAACCAGGTTTTATCTCCACTTTGGAGCAGGCTTCTTGGTCTGGTTTATCTACCTGCCTATCTTAGTGCTCATAGGCTCACAGCTTTCAGCTTTATGGAGGTTCAAAACCATGCTAAGTAAGTGTAGTTAGTGGAGTTATAACATAGGAATATTTGTAATTAGTTTGTTTACATATGAAAAAAGATATGGCCAAATTAAATGAACAAAAGTGGCACTTCTTTTAAATAAGTTTTCTAAAGTTGAAACCTGTGTTGAGGCTTTATGGCAAAATTATTATTATTATTTATCAGGTATAATGTATGGATCAGATTTCCTTGCCTTTGCCATATTGGTTCATTTGCTGTGGCCCACGCGGAGTGCAATCTACTTCAACCTAGATAACAGGTTTAACAGGCGACAGTGGGACATGAATGAGCTGAAAATTACAGGTATTAGGGGAGAACTTGAGGTAGTTCATTTACATTATATTTCATTATATAACATTACATTTATATGTGGAATTTACAGAAAGTTGAAGTTTGTTAATAAAACTATAGGGGGGAGGGGGGAAGAACCCCCCCCCCCCCAACCCCAACCCCACCCACCCCCATTTTGGCAGGAAAAGTCCTGTTCTGTATCACAGTTTGATTAAGGTTCTATGCCATTTCTCATGTTGAGTCAGCAAGGAATTAGATATCTTATTCTTTGGGTCAACTAAGGGTGTAAAAAGGTCCACATTTTCAGAAATAGAACTCTTCTTTAGAATTGCTGGCTACAGGCCTACACTGTCACCAATTGCTCAGCTTATTTTCAAGTTGTAAATGTACCATGTTTGTCTTGCACAGGGCTCCTCAGTGACTCTGAAGATGAAAACATCGAGATGTCTCGACTGGTCTCCGATTCTGAAGAATTACAGGATGAAAGAAAACCTAGTGGAAGAAGTTATAAGAATGGTTTTATTAGCCCCAGCTCTAGGGCATTGCTGGGAACTATGGAGGAATCTGAGATGTGAAAAAATGGTTATAAGGAAAAAAAGAATCTCTAGTTTATTTTTCACAGTAGCATTGTAGAATATTCATCGGTACCATATAAAAACTCTGTAATTTATTACTTAGACTTAATATATATATTGAGGCATTCTGTCTGGATGTTTTGCATTTCAGATAAACAGCAGTACAGGGCTAGTAGGTACAAATCTGCATTTATCATTGTGGACATTTTTGCATATTTTAATAGTTGTTGCATAAATACAATATAGTTCTGTGCTCTTATTTAGACCCCATTTCCATAGATTTTAGATCGATCTATCCCTGTGGGGAGTCTCACTAGATTACTGTCAGCTTAGCCAGCTTAAGCGTCTGCCCCGCCTACTGAAAGCTGTAAGGGGGTAATTAACTATGGTGCGCGCTCGGCTGACTGCAATTTAGCGTGAACCCCCAGGGAGTTAGGTCGATCTAAATCATAATCTCTGGATCGATCTAAATCTCTGGGAATACACCCATAGGCTGTATTCCCAGAGCTTTTAGATCGATCTATCCCCGCAGGGAGTCTCACTAGATTACTGTCAGATAATCTGGCTTAAATGTCCGTCCCGCCTACTACAAGCTGTAAGGGGGTAATTAACTTTCGTGTTCGCTCAGCTGACAGCTATTTAGCGTGAACCCCCAGGGAGTTAGCTCGATCTTAAGTAGATCGATCTAATCTCTGGAAATGGGGTCTCAGAGAGCACATTTGACAAAGGATTCTTGCCTCCCAAGAGTACTGGCTCAGCAGGAGCAGAGCAATTAAATCTCGACACTTTTGCAAGAGGGTCTGGACATATTTAATCCATGGACTAGTTTGCCTACTGATCACCTAGTTCTGAATGCAGTCTTACATGACAATCATTACTTAAATATTTAGTTCATTATTAACTCCCCAGCCTCTTATACCCCTCAAAAGTTATGGAAATGTTGGGTTCCAATTTTTAAAACTTTCGAATTCTGTCATATTTCCAGATAATGTACAATCTCCAGAATTAATATGAAGTCCATATTTTCAGTGCCGCATTCCTTTCCGTATTTGGTTGTGTAACAGGAATACAGGTAGCCTTACTGCCATTATTGTCTTGTATAAACATTATTATTATTATTATTATTGTATGGCTGTTTTGCTTTCTGTTGAATCCTTCATCCAAGAATATAATATTTCCTCAGTTGTGCATGAGAATATGCATGTGGTTATGGAAACTAGCTTGAATTTTATATGCAAATGTAGATTTGATTTTCCTGGGATGTTTTTTTTTTCTTATGTTACATCTTTTTAAACTGTATAACTTTTTTTAAATTAAAATATTAATTTGAGTTCATGTTTTAGCACCAGAGGCTGACTGGCCTCCACACTGAAAAGTGCAAGCAACTGCATGTGTGTGTGTGCGTGCATGTGTGTTACACAAAACCATTGTATTTCCCCATTTTCATTGGAAGGTGAAGCATATTGTTTCATGGAACAGAAGACAGTAAGTTAGAGATATATTAACAAGTTCTCTAGAAAATGTAACAATGAAAGTGCAATTGTGTGGTATGAAGCTGTGAAAGTCATTTTTGGAAGAAATTCTGTCAGACTTGTTAGAGCATATTTAACACAGCTCACATGTGCAAAGATGGTTGTGATATATATTGATAGCCCAAAAGCCATGTGGTTACATGCAATATATGGGTGCTTCAACGACAGGTGCTTGCATGTTGTTCATGTTTTGAAAAAGATTTCCATATAACCATAACTTAAAAATGTCAAGAAAATAGTGAGCTGCTAAACCATATACAGAAAGATGTGTGTCAGTTTGTCTGTCACATACAGTTGATGATAGTAAATATTTACACATACAGTTGATGATAATAAACATTTACAGTTTACTTTGAAAGAAGTAGTGTTTGTAGTTGGTAAACATGCATGCATCTATCCATCTATCCTGGCAAACATGCTGAAAACTTTGAAAAACAACCAGGCAATCAGGCCGGCAGTTATAAAAAATTTCCCAGATTAAAGGACATTTGCCAGACTAACTGTAAATTCAACATTGTTGCTGGTCTCTTGGACTGACTAAACACAATTTTCTACCTGGTTTTTGAGAATATTTTTTTCAGTCATGAGAGATGTCAACAGTGTCAGCATGCCCGCCATCTTGTCCAGTTATATATTAATGCTAACAGCAATGGATAGTTTATGTATACATTTGAATTTTATCTGCAAGTTAAGAATAATCTTTTTTTTTCCTCTGGTAATTATAATCTTATGTCAGTATAAATATTAATGTATGAATGCACACACAACACATACGTGTTTATGTGTACGTGTTTATGTATTATACATTGCCATATGTGCCATTGTATGTATAGATTCCATCATCTTTACAGCTGCAAGTTCTCAAAGAAATTTTCATCTCTTATAAATATCTCCATTATATATATCAAAACTTTTAAATTAGCCATAATTCCAAGTTCATAATTTAAGGTAGTTTCCATAATAATCTCAACATCTGATGGAGTTCAAGTTACATTCTATGATGGTATATGGTCATAAAAAAGTCCCGGTCCCCACCATCTAGTCAGTAATTCAGCTCTAGTTAAGGGAATATTTTGAAATAATTATTCAGTAACATCGAAGACGCCTTATATTTAACATTTCAATGGTTCAAAGGGAGAAGTAGTTTACTTTTATCCTAAAAGTACATGTATATCAGCCTCTGTTTTGTGAATTCATCATTAGCTATAGGTATGTACAGTGCTAGTAGTGAATGATACAAAATTATTATAAGAAAAGAAATAAGATAAACAGCATTTAATTCTATCAATATGATAGTTTATATTTTGTGATGCACGACTTTATGTCTACAAGACAAAGGATAAACTCTTGTAAGACATATTGCATCAAATAGTGTTCATAATGCAGATTTTAAAAGACATCTCGAGGTGTGGCCATTAGTCATGTTATATATGTATTGATCTTTAAGAAGAAAGTTGTACAGACTGTGCATAGAAAAATCTGTCACAACCGTTTCCAGCATGGCAAAGAAAAATAAAGCAAGAATTATGATACATGTAGCATTTTGAGTTTTCTGCATTTTCATTACATTACGCTGGATTTCTAGAAAAATATGTGAGCTCTACGGATTGCATATTGTGGTTGTCTGCTGACTGCAGTCCAATATCTGTTCCTTTGCATTCTAATAGTCTCTGAAATGTTTTAAGTTTACAGCATCTTGAAAGAGAGCTACAATTGCACTCGTTCTTACAGATTTTCTATTGTACAATGTATCTACTGGGCATCATTAACTATTAACTATTATGGTCAAGTCTTCTTTTTCTGCTTTTCATAGTTTTCCACACATGCCTTGAAAGCCTTCACTTGCTCCTGGCACTTTCTCCAATCTTTGGTATCAAACATACAATCCTAAAAGGAAATCAAAATTGCAGATTAATTCCCAAACATAACTAGAGGATCAGAGAGGCGATACCGCCTCCGAATATTGTACCACCAGCTGGAGCAAGCGCATTCGTATAGACCCCCACATACACAAAATAAGGGACACAGCCNCCAACGGAGCGGAGCCGGCGGAGCCGGCGGAACGATCCGGACGGGACCGAAACCATGTGTACCGCCAGCGCTAACGCTGGTGGTACAATTAATATAGCAATCCAAATTACTAATATATCACAATTATATATATATTAATGTTAAGATAGTTAAGTGCCAATGTACAATTCCTTTTCCCAATGACATATGTTAAATTGAGGTACTTTCCTGACAAATGAACAGATTTAAGAATGTATTGAGCGCAGAGAGTAAGAAAGAGTTGTTCAAATAATGGCGCTTACGCAACATGGGTTTTCTGGTTACATAAATCCCAATTCACTTTTCTCTCTTTTTTAAAGGATCTAGACCATTTTCATAATAAAGCTGTTGACATAATGTACACTACGAATATTTATGCTAGCTTTGAATTTTAGTAACTAGTGATTCGTAATTATTGTGCCCAAACCCAATTCTGCTAGCTCACGTTAGCTACTGGTACAGTACATGTAGACTACAGTTGTTAACCAACGTAAACTTGCACGCGAAATAAGTCATATGTTTAACAATAAACTTATAAAATGCATTATTGTTCTCTTACTTGGACCGCTAAATGTTTATCCATGCATCCCATCTCTTTTAATCTTTTGTCAACAAGATCGTCGTCCTCATCATCGTTATCTGAGACTGGTTTTCGTGAACGATCATGTCCCATGGGCGCAGCCATCTTTACATCGCTTATATCATAATAAAATACCAACAAAAGAATGTAGTAAACTAGCAAAAAGAGACTTATACAAAATCAACAAAATCAAAATGGCACTTGAAAAAAATAGATTTTATATTTCTTAATTTTTTAATGATTTCAGTTACAGACAGTATAATTATGTTGTTGTAAGCGGTTAGTTAATACAGACATGGAAACTTCAGCAAGAATTGTAATACAGCAGTGTCTTGCTGCTACTTTACGTCTTAACCCAGAGTCAGAAGTCAGTGAAGCTGAGTATGCGAAGGTATCGAAACTTTAAACTAGTAATATATAGTAAATTAAAACTTAATTTACTATATATAGACCCATGTTCTCAGTAGGTCATTTAATGTGCTTAAAATATTTACCCACTAATCTGCAAGTGCCTTACAATATTCAAATTGTATTTGCCTTACAGGAAGTTACAGTGCACATATAGCTCCTCTTTTGTTTTATCTATCTGTTTTTCCCCTAGAATGTTTTCTCCGTTTTTACCAATAATATGTCTGCTTCATGACACGTTATTGACTGTGACATTATAATTGAGGTATAATATACACAGTATTTTTACTTTAAAATTTCAACACTGAGTACATTTTTAAAGAAAAAATGCCTATTGATATATTTGTTCATTGCCTGTTTTATTTTTGTTCACAGATTAAACAGGGAATGGTTGTATTTGTGTGTTTCCTCAAAGGTGCCAATAAAGAACTTGTAGAAAAGATGGGTAAGAATTACTTACAATGTCCAGGGGCGTAACCAGGCATACGCACGGATGCACTGTGCGTACAATTTTTTGAGCCAACTATGATATTATTCTCCATAAATTCAGTGTATTTTTTATGGAATATAATCGTACCTGAGAATTTTCAAAATCTTTGCATACAATTTTAAAAGGTCTGGTTACACTCCTGATGTATATACATAAACATGAAAATTAAGTCAGTTTGAATCTAGAATAAAGGAGATGATATTGATACATATACTAGTGATTGTTGTAATTTTTTAATTCTGTTCCTATTTATGAAAAAATGCACAATTTATATATATACATGCACATGTGCTTACACACACACACGTGTATGAGCCATAAAACAGCTTTTGGTGTCACCTTAAACTAGCACAGTACAGATGGTAACAAACATCTACAGTACTTAGTATGTTTTCTGCTATAGTTCATTATGGAAATTGGCATAGTTTTTAACAAGATAACACAGATGAGATTTCAGCTTCGAGAACTCTGTGTGACTTATGGTATATTGTGAATACAGTTTGTTTTGTAGTGATTCACTAATTAATTATATTTATTTTTACCTGAGGAACATTTGTTATAAAAGTCATCTCATTATTGTGGAAGATAAATTATATATTAACCATGATTTTTCCTCAATAAATAAGGTTTAATGAACAAAATGAATTACAATTATTTATTTTCAGTCAAACAAGTTCTTGCTATCAAGCTGTGTGAAGGAAAAGATGGAAAACTAACCTCTATCACAGACCTTCCAGGAGATTTACTAATCATCCCTCAAGCTTGTCTTGGTGGTAAACTGAAAGGAAAGTCGGTCCAGTATCACTCTATCATAAATAAGACTGATGGCAGTGACCTCTATAGGACTTTTGTTGAACTATGCACAGACTCTTTTCAACAGAACAGTGCCATGCAGGAGGCTGGGTGTGTAGTAAAAAGTGGAGTGTATGGAAATAGACAGGTGTTAAATATGGAAACTAATGGACCTTTTACACATATTGTTGACTTTTAAATAAAACTTCAGTTATGTGTTATTTTTGTTTTTAATATTTTCTCTTTCATATATTATATGCAAAGAATATTGTCCTACCAAGTAATACAATTAATGTACTTGATAACAGTTATTGTCATCATGAATCAAACACAACCAGTGTGATGTAAAGGTCTGTGTTTGCGGAATGTTGCAACCTTAATCTGATGACATCTGGGTTTATAATACAACACCTGGAATACTTGCCTTCATAATCAGACATTTTTAATAACTTTACGTGCAGGGCGTGTAAAAGCGTTTGTTGTCACGGACAACAAGGACAAGGAGACAGGGATTCCATTTGTCAGTATTTGGACTTGTTCTGTTGGTTTTTCTCTTACCAAGGGGCAGATCTAGAGATATTTTCTGACAGTCTTCCAAATTATCTTTGTTGATCCATCCTCCATATTTGACCGTCTTCCAACAGAAAAAAATTAGATACTTGTCAATGTAAATCTGCCCATGTTACCTGCGGCCACATAGTAGTCACCCTGTTAAAGGTGGCAGATATTGTATCCAGTGGTGTTGAGGAGGACATTACCAGGGGCGGATTGAAGCTGTCTTCTGGGTCTTCTGGAAGACGGTCAGAATTTCAAGTTTACATTGACAGGTATCTAATTTTTTGCTGTCAGAAGACGGTCAAAAATGGAGGATGGATCAACAAAGATAATTTGGAAGACTGTCAGGAAATATCTCTGGATCCACCCCTGATTACAGCTAGCACCTACAGGTTCTGCAATTGAGCAAGACCAAAAAGTGTCTCTGTAGATTCATCGTTATTGGCAGATCTGCCCATAAGGAAAAATGAAGGTAGCTCATTACAGTCAAGTTTTTATTTGCAATAAACAATAAAGGCTATATTTTCAATCTTGCATTCACTGTACACAGAAATTGGCAGACAAATAAATAATTTACACATGGTATTTGAATGATTTGGCATTCATGTTCATCAGTTATAATTGAATTTCTCTTTTTCTTTGCTCCACAGGCTGTAATATCAAAATATAAAGTACATATACATAGATGTTATAGAAATGGAATGGATAAAAAGTTGGAAGTTTCATACTATTTGGTTCACCATATATACATGGTTGGGGTCCTGTTCATATGAGAAGCTTGACATTCTGTGTGAAATTGTCTGTTATTGTCTGGCTTCATAAAAGCTTTGTATTTTCATTTACCTCAACTTATTCACCATATTCATATGAATTCACTAGATGTTTTGTCTTTAAGTGGTCTCCACATGAATTCATAACAATATCTCCCTAATGTAACCATGGGATTTCCACGTTTTTTTTTTTTCATTACAGATGTTAAAACCTGCATATTAAAGTAATATCAAGGTGTTCACAACAGTGGCTAGATTTAAATACAAAGAACTGGCTTTTTGTCAGTCAGCGTAACGACCACGAAATGACTTACATTGCAATTAAAAATTAAGTCCTAAGTTGATCAGTTTTCCTATTTTAAGTCTCAAGTTATCATGCCTGAGCAACGAAACAAATGTAAGACTGATCCTCAACAACTTTGACAGATGCTCCGCTAGGAATAGTCGACTATCTACGTGACATTCTTAATGAAAATAGAAATACTTTTGAGATTTGACATTTCAATGTCTCCAAACGATAATTGCAACTGACTGTCCGCTTTTTGAGACAGGAGATTGCCTTCACCTTTGTTAACTCGATGCTTCCGTTGACAAGAAGATAGAAACAGAACACATCTCTCTCGATACCGTTGCAGTAGGTATTTTTGGCTGTGTGATAAATCATGTTGTCTGGTTCCTTGTGAGAGAGACCGTAGTTAAATTCTCACTGCTGACAAGACAACGCACTTACTGTTTATTTATTTATTATAATTTTTATTTATTTATTTATTTATTATTTTTTTTTTGGGGGGGGGGGAGTATTAATAGGCGTATATACTGTTACCCATGTAAATATATTTTGGCGAAAGTAAAACACCAAAACGCCAAAAAGTTTTGGAACCGACCCCATGCAAAGAGGGCAATTGTCGGCTTCGCATCCGAGGCCTGTCATTCCTAAAAAAACTGACCACAAAATAATGTAACTTTACTATGACGCAGACGTGTACTTGTTGCTGCAGAACTGTGATGTTTGTGCTATAGATTATCTAGAATACTGAATAAGTGAGTTACAAAAATATTTATATTTTGAATTCCGTGTTACAAATTTGCATATTTTCCTTCTTAAAGACCACAAAGAGCGATTTATAAAATACTCTTATGCAGAAAAAAACTGATGTGAGTAGATTACATTTTGAATCATAATTACATAATAAGCTTAAATTTTCCCATCTCAAAGCAGTTTAAGCAGTTATAATTCACTGATACTACTATACCACCGGTATATAAGTATGTGAATATTATATTCTGTATTACAGAACAATATTAATGTATGTCTAATGTCACGTGAAGGAATATTCCACATTACGTGTCACTCATTACAAAAGCAGTGCGGATATATATAATCATAACCCAAAGCCCTGATGCACGCCAAGTCATAAGGAAATAATTGTTATCGATTGGTAGCACGTAGAGCTGTAAATGAAAAGAAAAATTACGAATGTGATAAATAATTCTGATCACGAAACAAAAAAGAAAAAATAAGGAGGAAAAGTGTTACAAAAGATGAATGACGTGTAATTAAAAAGCTTTAACTGTCCAGTTCTTTGTGTATAAATACAGCGTCAATCTGTTATCACAAACATAGCCTACATTATTCAAGAGAAGACCTCCCATGTCAACGGACACCCTGTAGAAAATATGTTGTAATGATATCTTTGAAATTTGAAAATCAAAGTGCAATATTTATGTTAATCCACACGCAAATTAAAATGCGTTAAGAGAGTAAGTCAAAAACTATTAAGGGGTTTATGAATCGTAATGCCCTTAACGCCTGTATATAATATGACATTGGTGAGCGAAAGAAAGGTGGTAAGAGTTCCAGGAAAACTGACTATTGACATTTAAATGTCCTTCTGATAATTATGTACCTTTAAAATAGGCCTAATTGTATTCTTTCTGGCACCATTGCAGTTTTAGATGTTGTATTAAGCACATTGATCAATCACCTAAGACGCTTCGTGTACATAACACAGCCGTTAATTGGATTGTATCAATGTTTTTTTCTTAAGCCTTTTGCTCACAGCGACAAAACAAAGCGTACAAGACAGAAAGAACTGTCGCAGTATGAAGACTGCGTCTATAAGGAATGAGCTGTGTCACGGTATAAATATAGCTGATATTCTGTTCAGCATTTGACAATGGCTGAAAACAACAAAGCGTGCAACAAGATCGGTTGCTAAGCGACGAAGTCCGGTAAATAGTTGTAGCAATATCGTCTTCATATAAACGAGGAGGAGACTACATCAGATGATCTCACCTGCCACGCCTAAGTCTCTCTGCAAGACGCCAATCTAAAAATGAAACAAATGGCGGTGGAGCTACATGAATTCAGGGAACGAAGGCTGGGGAATATTTAATCAGAAGACAATGTTTAGAACCATTTTGGTGTTGTATTGTACCATCAGCCTGTCAACTGACGTCTTTTCAAGTGAGTGAAAAGAACACATTTTTTGCATGGCAGTTTGCCATCGTCATTGTCATTGCAAAATGACACTGTTTTTGTATGTGACATATTTGGTACTGTTTTTGTTATAGATCTGTCAAATGTATACAATGGCGGCCTCTACTTATATCATTAATAAATCTGACAAATTGGTGTGTGTAAGTGACGTCATGATGCACGTGCTGTTAAATCTGCGTGTGTCACTGTACAGTGAGCGTGAAAATGTTACTTTATTGTTTGCGTCTTAATACGTGCAAATCTGGTGGGGAGCCAGTTCTAGACTGGTAGATATATATAAAACTGCTTAGAAAAATCAATAGAAAAATTTGAACGGGAAACTGACATTACACGCTGCTTGTGGCAGGTAGCTTTGTTTTCATATTTGATGTACATGTATTATATACGGTTATATGTGAAACATTTTTTGGTAAAGCTTATAATAAAACACGCGGAGAAAGAAACCTGAAGTCTGTCAGATGAGCTGACTGATATACAGATGAGAAATTGTTGACATGCGTATTGATTTCTTTGGCAAAGACAATGTTCAACAGGTCGTCATTTATTAAATGCATAGCGTATCTCTCATCATTCATATTCTGTCCAGCGTTCCGACATTTATCATTTTAAAGCAAATTGTTTTACCACGTTTAAAAATACCAAATACCATTTGAAAGACCGGAACTTAAGCAACGAATTGACAAAATATTCTCTGTGTCTTAGATCCTATTCCCATAGATTTTAGATCGATCTATCCATGTGGGGAGTCTCACTAGATTACTGTCAGCTTAGCCGACTTAAGCGTCTGTCCCGCCTACTAAAAGCTGTAAGGGGGTAATTAACTATGGTGCGCGCTCGGCTGACTGCAATTTAGCGTGAACCCCCAGGGAGTTAGGTCGATCTAAATCTAAATCTCTGGATCGATCTAATTCTCTGGGAATGCACCCTTACTCACGCAGTTATACGTGCTGTGAATCATACATTTTACAAATTCAAATCCTATCCTATCGAAATGTCAGATAATCCAAGTATCAAATGTCAGTCATTTGACATTCAAGACGAAAAAACGCGAGTCAGAGTCTTTATTTAGCAGAAAATGAATTATCCTATCCAAGATCGTTAAGAAAAAGAACACGTATGTTTGGATTTTGAACGATTTTAATTACAACATCGGAATTACACGTACTACCAAAATGAATATAGTCAAATATAATCTTCTTAAAGATCCATATTTCCATAAAAATCCTTAAAAGTCAATTTTGCCGCAAAAGCCGACCAAATGCCAGCATATAGTTGCAACGAGTATGACTGAAAGAATTACCAAAAGACACCGTTTAATATTACCCAAAAATGATATTTGAACGGATTTTGCTGCAAGCCATCTATGCTGTATATACATGTAAATGGGGCAGATAAGTAGGTTAAATTTACGACCGGAAATTTGAAGAAAGGAGCAGTTTAAAGATTTTTTATGGTTGATCGAGTGATTTATTTAGTTTATCCCTTGGCATGTCGAATTTATTTGAGTCGTATAAGAAACAAGTAAAAGCGGTTAATATGCATTACTGGGAATCAACGCTCCACGCTTCATGTGCACCTTTATATTTTGCTACAAAACTTTCCGTATACAATAGTCTAACGCACGGTGTTTATTTTAAGGCAATTTTTTAATTGAAGATTAAATGAAAATTAAAAATAAGCCTTATATCCTGATATAATTCGGGTCGGTCGTAATGCAGTTATCTAATACGCAGGTTTTGTGCATAAAGACTTTCTTATTTACATGTGTCACATGT